TATATGGCCTTTAGTTTCAATAAATTAAATCAAAAATTTTCAATATAAAATTGATAAATTTAGATATATTTAATAAAATTGATATATTAGATATATTTAATAAAATTTACAAGGTCCGACCCGACCCGGCCCGAACCCGATTATTTTAAATAGAAATAGGCCTGAGCCCGGCCCGAAGCCAGTTTGGGCCGGACTCAGGCCGGGTACGGGCCGGTCCTAACTTTGCAGATCTCGAATAGGTATATTATACATGGGGGGAAATGTTGTCATCAGGAAATACGTATTTTTGGCAACGATTGTTTGTACCTGTCTAATTTAAATATTAAATTTAAAAAATGAGAGTATAAGTCATTTCTAATTTTTAGACATTATTAATACCGCTTCACACATATAAATGATTGTCTTTAGAGAATATCTTTAAGGAAGTTTAGATGTAATTATTGATCTATAAATATAAAGATCAAGATCAACATTATTAAATAAAAATCGAAGTAAAATTTGATATTTTTTTTCACTAACAAATTAGCCATTTTTTTCTGTCTTTTTAAAAATGTGTGGTAGTAGATTTTTAGAAATTTAAAATAAAATATATGGTAGAAGGGGTAGTTTGGCCAATTGTAATGTGGTATTATTCTATATATATATATATATCTTCTTTTTTTTTGAGAAAAATGGGGGTTTCTTTTACCCTGCATTGGCAGCTAATCTTTGATAAACTAAAAATAAAAACAATATTTTTTTTTATTATATATTATAATCATCCAGATTGATGAATTGTTTATTTTCATTATAAATTTTAATTAATACAAAGTCAAAGGATTCATTTCATACTTTTTTTTTTTAAAAAAAGGACAATCAAATTTATATGTAAACTCACAACAAAACAAACACATGCACGACTCGAGTTAAATTTAAAAAAATATGTTTAAAAAAAAGCAAGTAACTAATAATCAAAGGAGTATAAAAATTGTAAAAAGGCATTATTTGAAAAAAAATTAACAATTAATATTATTGTAACACTACTATGATAATATATTAAATATATATGGAAAAAAATAAATAAATGTCACTAAAATCGATATTGAAATAAATTAAATATCGGAGGACGAAAATGCCAAATTGCAGAAAAATTGAAATTGACAGATAAATATTTTTGTAAAAATTAGAGTATTTCTGTCCGGCGTTTTGTTCAATGTCTTTTAGTTTATCATTATACATAAATATTTAGAATATTCAATTATTTCTTAAAAAATACTTTTCTGAAATATGACTAACTAATCACTTTATAATAAAATCTTAGACATTACAGTATGTTACTTTAAAAAAAAATATCATTGTATATAATTTTTATTTACTATTATAATTACTATATATAGAGAAGACAGGCGTCAAGGGACCTATGAATCCAATTCCATTAATTTTGAAATTGATTGAAGCGGAGGTTTTAAATTTAATACTTCTTTAGATAATTATGATATACACCCCTCGGCAAAAATAATAGTTTGAATCCCCTGTTCTAAAATTTGTTGCTTTAACTCGGGATTTTATATATTTAACCCATAATTCATAGGAAATTATATATATCGTATTTGGATAAGGAATTCATAAGGTCTCTTTTTAAATCATTTACTAGAGATGATTTCTAATTTAAAATGTGTGTGATGTATTACAGTGCATGTCTAAAATTTACAGAGCGTGTTGGGGAGACCGGGGCTAGACAAATCAATTTTTAATTAAAAAAAATCATCTATAATTTCGGTCTTTTTATATCTTGGGAACTGCTATATATTGATAAATATTAAATACTTACAACTATATTTTATTAAATTTGTGAGCATTGTCACATTTATTTATTTTTTTGTCAATTTTAATTTTCTCCAAGAATTTTTACACCCCCCCCCCCTCACCTTGGATATGGTGCTTCCAAAACCATTACATTTTCTGCCATATAACGGAAATAAAAATGCCATTTCTTAAGATTGATATATTTACAGAACAATTTTAATATCTTAGCGGTTAAATAATAATTCTACCAAAATAATAAAAATTAACGTATAATTTTGATAATTTTAGATACATTTAGAAACATATAAAATAATTGATTCTTTGGGGTGCGTCCAAAGTCAAAAAATTTTTCAAAACAAAAATAAATGATTCTCGCATTTATTCATTACCTTGAATAGGCGTCCAAATTCGATTTCGAAAATTTCAATAATGAATTTATTTATTAAAAATAAAATTTGTAATTTGGAAACCCTTTTTGCATTTTTTTATAATATCTTATGAAATTTGTAAGAAATCCACAAAATAACCAAAGATACTATAAATTTAAAAAAAATAAGAAATATTTTATAATACATTTTCGGTTTCGCAAGCCCAATTAGCACTAGCTTTAATAATCATGATCAAAATAATATATAGACACACAAATGTTCGTAAAACTTTCTCAAACTATGAAAGGAGGTTTAAACTTTGCTTTAAAGGTTAAATTATATTTTTTTAAGCTTAATATAAATTATAATCTTGTTTTGCAAAAATTTTCCAAATTTAACTTCAAAATTTTATATGGCTTAAATTTTAAAATGGGCGCAAATGGTTTGAAACGCCCAACGACTAACCCCGTTCTTCTACTCTACACATGCTGGAATAAACTTTTATTGATAAATATGTTTTAAATCTAAAATTGAGAGATTCCGAAATCCCATAATCTATATCCCAATGCAACATGTACACTTTAAATATCTCACTTAGTGTCAGACAATGTTGCTAAAAGCTACTTTAAAAGTAGCGCGCTATCGCTACCGCTAACATTTTCAAAAAGTAGCGCGCTATTATCTACCTTTTTCGTTACTTTATAATTTTTTACAAAATATTTTCTAAGCATCTCTATTTCCACAAATTAAAAATATTAAAATTTCAAATATATATACAATTTTTTTTTTTATTGTGTCTCAATAATAATAACATTTCCATACTGTCTTCCTCAAGTCTAGTCCGACAATCAGAAAGTATAAGCTATGATTAAATAACCGTTCAATTCTAGCGCGCAATGTAGTATTATTAATATACATACTTTTTATATAAGAAAAATCGTCATAAAATTCTTTTGAGTATTTTTAGATTTAAAAAATGTATCTAAAGGAGTTTCAATAGTAGTATAATTTATGGTAGGTGGCGTTTTTAATCTGGCTGATGTCAATCTAAATTATAATAGTAATAGTTAGAATAAAAATTATGTAGGCGATAAGTATATGGCCATGTTTGCCAACAAGCCAGGTCACCACACTTTTGGCTAAAATGTGAAAGGATTGAAATATGTATATTTTAGCATGTTTTGATAAAATTTGAGTGGTTAATTAAGCATGTTTAACATTAAAATAATTTATAAAATATTATCATTAAATATATGCGTCTAATGATAAAATGAATGATGAATTATTTAATGTAATTTTTAATTTTTTTTTTTTTTAGTCGATATATACTTTATTAATAAAAATATTTAATACATTGAACGTTAAAAGTAAAACATATATACGTAATTTAAAAAAATATATATATTAAAAATGTCATGTAAACTATAAAATCTATATAATAATATAATTCTTGAATAAAATCTTATGGACAATGCTTGGACTGAGCCAGAAAATCAGCTTTCACATAAACTCATATAGCTCAAAATTTATTATAGATACAGCTTTGATTCAAATTTTATTTTAAAGATTTAGGAATGGGCTACACATTGATATTAAATTTGTTTGATATATTACTTTTAAATGTTTCCTCGTTGAAGCTACTAGTCTTGCTTGATAATAAAACCTCAATTAAATTTATAATCTGTGTTAATTATTTTTATCGAGATTAAAGTATTTGCAAATTCAGGAAAAAGAAATTCAATATTCTCATCATTTTCTAGGGAAATTACTTTGTCGATATGATCTGTACTAAAATTATCTATAATATTAAGTCTCTATCGTCATTTTAAATTATTTTGAAAACTTTAACGCAGATTTTTAAATATAAATTTCAAAATTAAATAAAATATAAGAAGATTTCATTTTAGAATTATAAATGCTAATTCGCTTTCTAAATTAGTGGCGAGCTACCGCTATCGCTAATTTTTTTTAAAAAAGTAGCTCACTAAAGCTACCGCTACTGAAAAAAAATAGCGTGCTACTTTAACAACACACTGACAAAATTTTTTTTGTTAATATTTACAAATGTTATTAGATTTTTTTTTTTACAAAATCCGGTCCGCAGTTCCAAGGTCTCTCTTATTCTATTCAACTTTTTATGATATCTTTCATTTTTTTCTAAGAAAAAAAACGAATCAAGTCAAAACAAGGATTTAGAAAATTAATTATTTATTTATATCCGGGTTTTCAAGTTAGTTTTAGAAAAATTAGAGATACAAAGAGGGTGGGAGAGGGGGGGGGGATTATTTACAAAAAAAACTGCTCATAACATTATTCTAATATTCTTCGACTTTTGAAATGAAAAGTTTTAAAATGATTTAATAAATTTCAAAAAAAAATTGAAATTTAATCTCTTTAAGGACAATTTTTTACTTTACTTTTTCTATTGATATCGATCACCTTCTCAGCTAACCGCATTTAAAATATATATGTGATATATTTACCAAACTAATTTATTATTTTATTATGATACTTTTATTTACATTAAAAAAATATCTCATTTTACAAGTTTACCAATCGCGATCCCATATTTTTTAAAAAATAATTATGGTTTAAAAAAAATATCAAACAAAAGACAGTATTAAATTTTAATATTATGATAAGGACGTCTATTTTTCTTTCATAAACAAATTGCAAACTTTTAATAGTGTAAGTAAAAACTTAATCGAACAACTAAATAGCACACAAGGAATTGTTGCTATAAAAATTTTTTTTTTATTAATTATATTTAAAAAAATGTAATTATTAATTCATAAAAGTATTAATTGTCATTTTTTTTTCTTTCTTTCAAATTTTAATATTATAAAATAATAATTTGTATAAAACCATTAAAATGTATAAATTTATTTTATTGGAACTATTCCAGCTCTATTTAGCATTATTGTATTGTAAATGCGACAGTGAAACTCAACAAGTTAATTTAGATTTAGAAAAGTTGCTGGTCAAAATTATCAATCCGGCGATCGCGATTGACAATTTATTTACTATAACGAACGATTTTAAATTTAACGACAAGAATCCTAGAAATTTAACTTATTATATAAGTGAGGAATGCCGTGCTGATCTTAATTTATACCTAAATGGAATTCAACATAGTAAGATTTGGGCCCTACATATGGTTCACTCCTCGGGAAAATATCCTTCCCATTCGATATACGAAGGAAACTTTAATTCGTTAGGGTCTTTCGATAGGTGCCTACTACCTTTGCATAGTCTGATATCGCCCAGCTTAGGATATTCTACCATGTCGACATCGTATTGCGTCGCGTCCATCGACATAAGTCGGTTTATTTTTCCGGATACGAGATTGTATCCCGAAAGTGTCATAAATTCTTTAAAAACCGAAGCTCCTATTTCGGATTCTTTACCAAGTTTATACTTTCGTTTGGGACTATGCTTACCATCAACATGCCTACCCGCCGACGTGCAATTGTTAGTACAATCGACGATAAACCATTACGGGAAGTCGTTATTAAGGGGCGCTATAAATATGGAACAACATACGGGTTTAAAGGAATTGAACGTGGAACAAGTGTGGTGTACAGGGCATTCCTATTTAAACATTCCCGTTGCCTTAAACAAACAAGGACCTATCAAATTCCAAAACAACATTCCAGTGTTGATAAATGAGAGCGGAAGAGTTAAAGCAAAAATAGCTCACTTGCATAAAATAAAGAGAAACGATCTTTTCACTGGCGTCATCTATTTTTCACTTTTTGCCTTAATTCTTTTAATAGCGAAATTTAAAGATGTGGGAATAATAAATATAACGCATCCTCCAAAAATATCAAACGCTGATAAAATTTGCAGATTAAAAATTTTTCTATATAGTCACTTGATATTAATTTTAGATGCTTTTTCACTTGACAAGAACTGGGCCAAAATATCTGACGTCAGTAATAAAGAAGCATTTCTTCAAATTCATAGTAATGGTTCCTCCAATAAAAACTTTATGAGTATCAAAAAGCAGCCATTAAACCCCGGTGGGATTCTGCGAAATCCAACGCATAATGAAAAAAATAATACTGCAATGATCCCCACGAATACCATCTCACATAACGCGAATAATCGAAAATATACTGATGTTATATATGGGATACGCGGGTTAAGCATGCTGCACGTGGTATATGCTCATACTTACCTATTTTCTTCTTTCATTACTATGAACATCGGAGAAATATTGGGCCCAAGAATGCTGGAAGATCCTACGATAATATTTTTGTATTCAGGGTTTTTCGCCGTCGATACCTTTTTCTTTTTATCTGGATATTTATATGTAGTATCAACAGCGCCAAAAATTGAATATCATAAAAACACCTCATCAAAATCTATTAGAAGTAAACTTATAGACATGCTCAAATTATGCTTTAGTCGATATATGAGGTTGGTACCTGTCTACGTTAGCATTCTGGTATTTGAAATTTTTCTGGTACCCCATTTAGGTACATTTACAGCTGGGCCTCCTTCATTTAGCCTGCTCAACACTCAATCGTATGAAAATTGCCGGAAAATGTGGTGGACAAATCTTTTATTCGTCAACAATATCGTGGGATGCAGGAAAATGTGCGGTGTTTGGACCTGGTATTTGGCAAACGACATTCAGTTTCATTTGGTGGCCCCAATAATAATGGGTTTAGTTCGGAGATTATCCAGAATCAATGGAAAACTTTTTCTTTGGGGGCTATTGGTTCTTTCGGTGGTATCAACATTCTTGATAAGCTATTTCAATCGTTATAGGTAAATGATCTGAAGGATATTAATTTTTTAAATATTTTTTAAGTCATTAATAGCAGTTAATTTATGATTTGGTAATATTGATTTGCTTTTCTATTTAATTTTTTAAAAATAATTGCTTAAATTTTATATTCATCAACAATATTTTTAGACCTTTAGGTAGAGTACTGCACGGGCTGTCCGTAGCCCGACCTGACCCTCGGGCTTTACAAATTAAATAAAATGCAACTTAATATATATCTTGAATAGATTATGGCCGATAAATAAACTTTTATTTAAGGCGATGAATAAATACACATAAATTTTTTTTGGCTATTATAATATTCAAACTCAAATTGCAAAATTTTATTCGGGCTCGGGTCGGGTTGGACTAAAAAATGTGTGCTCAGGCTCGGGTTGTGAAAAAATTACTTTGCAGCCCTCTACCTTTAGGGGTCATGATTTAAAAAATTTTCTTGATCAGTTATTAAACAAAATATTTATTCCATTCATATTTTAAATGACTATTATATTAATAACTAATCTATTTAGTTTATTTGATGATTTGTAATCAAATAATTAAATTTTTTTAAAATAATTTATCTTAAAAGGCCAGGCATATTTCCAGATGATCCTCAAATACTAAACTTTTTCTACGACTTCTACATTAAACCTCACATAAGGATAACTCCGTATTTAATGGGATTTATATTGGCTTATCAATTATCATCAAGTAAATAAAATATAACTTTTTAAAACTATAATTTATTCTTCGTCAGGTATACCTGTTTAAATAGCAGCGCTCATTGATTCTAATTATATTGATATGCTTTACCGATAATAAATATGGAATCGGGGTCGGCATTTATCAATGTTAGATAAAATTTGATATGGCCGATATTATGCTATTTTATGATTATATATTTTTTTTTTATTTTATTAAATAATTTTGTAATGTTTTGAAGAAAAAAAAACGGAATTAATTTAAAAGAAAGATCATAAACGTTTCCTATATTTTAAATGAGATGCTTAACTTTTTGGGTGAAAAAAATCAAAATGCACTAGAATCGTTTTGGCCGTGAGAAACGGAAAATTTATAAGTGTTTCTTGTTTTACCTCTATAGGGTTAGTTAAAGAAAATTTTGCAAAGAAAAGATCAGTTTTTTTTATCATAGGTTCAAAGAGAGAGATAGCAAATAAATCAATATCGGATCACTTTTGTATGAATGTCGGATCCATGATATTGTGGATCGGCATAAGCCCTACCCGATTTTTAAAAATTTATTTATAGGTCCTACCTAGCCCTGCTCGAAATGTTTAATATTGAAAAATATAAATTAAAAGCATTTTTTTTAAAGTTCAATAAAAAAAAATCATTAATTGTTTTAGCCCTTCGAAATCGTTGTAAAACATTATTTCTCATTTTATCTCTGGTTTAGAAGGGTAAACAGAGACCTGCAGGCCCAGCACGACCCAAAGCCCGGGTACACGGGTCGCACCCTAATTTTTTTTAAAAGAAACCCTTCCCGAGCCTAAATTTTTTTTTAAATATCCAGGCCGGGCTGAAAATTTTAAATCGCGATTATACGTATATAAAATAAATAGATGAAATAAAATAATATTATATATTAAAAATTGTTGTATAATTGATTAATATATAATATTCATTCCTCCTCATAATTCCTATATCATTTTAAAACATTTCATTGGGAAATTTTTATACACACGGGCCAGACCGAAAATTAAAAAATCCGGGCCGGGCCTAACAAATATTTTCTTACAAATCAGGGCCGAGCTGTGCAATTGATACCTCTGCAGGTCACTGATATTAAGTCAATTTAGTTGTTAAATTTATCATTATTTAATAAATAATTATGATTATCAAAATCAAAATACACTATTTACATTTGTAAATGTATAATTAATCATAAAAAAGAACTACTTTAAAAAATTTTTTTTTAGATGAGGACGTAACCATAATCAAGCCTAAAAATGATATTTCTACTCCAACGGAACCTCGAGACTATACGAATGTAATAACTTGTCGAAAAATCAAAGAGCTCACTTATAAACACAAATGGGCCTGCCTAACCCTAACGACTGTTCTGTCCATCAAAGCTGTAACGTTCCTGATAAAAGAAATGCGGTTTTTTTTAGAGAGTGATCCTACCAGAGGCCCTGCATTAATTCACGCAATTATAAATGCCACTGGTCGCGTGATATGGTCTCTTATTATAGGAGCCATCATAATGTGTTCTTATAGGCATTTCAAAGAATCACCGAGTGAAGAAACGGACTCAAAAGAAGCTCCGACAAGTAAAAAGAATTTACTATTAAATATTCTGTGCCACCCATTTTGGGTGCCCCTGGGTAATTTGGCTTATTGCACTTACATGATTCACCCATCTTTAATGCAGTTAGTTTACAAAAACTTGAGAACGCCGATTTATATGTGCCACTTCCATTACCTCGTGTTGTATTTTGGATTTTTAGGACTCAGCTACTTATCGGCATTAGCCTTAAGCCTTACTTTTGAAATTCCTTTCAAGAATTTGACGAAAATATATCTCAAAAACTAATTTGATCCCTAGGAACACACCAATTTAGTTATTATTTTTATAGCATTATTAATCTTTATCAATAAAATTTGGTAAATTTTTTAAAAATAGTATATATGTTTATTGTATTTTTTTAAATAATAATTTTAATTTATATCATCTAACATATAATTTATATATTAATTAAATTAAATATCTATATATTAATTACTATACATATAATATAATATAAACTATGTTTTAAAATGGTTTGTTATAATTTATCGATATGTTATTTTTCATAAAAAAAATGATTGAATCACGAACTAGGAATTTCCCAATTACAAGAATGGCCTTTTTGATATAGATCTTTAAGATTTTGAGCAAATTTTTCAGCACTCAATTTTTCCGTTAATTCTAAATAGAGCTTGTACAGCTTAAGGGTGCATACCGCATCTTCAACAGAATCATGTGTTTCTTGTTGGATAATTTTACCTATAAAAAAAAGGTTTTAGTAAATTAAGAAGATTATCATTCAGTATGATAATATTTAATAGCTAAAAATAATAAGTTTCAATTATTAAAATGTAAAACTAAAGAATTTATAAAGAATATATCATAAATAATTTTTTTATAAAATGTTAATCATAAAAAAACACTACAAGAAATCAATCCTATTAATGTAACATATTACTTTAAAAGAAAAACTAAAAATAATGCTTGATCCCTCCAACCCAAATTCAAATAATATTATTTATATTTACGCATACCGAAATAATACCATACTAAAAATTTCAAGGAAATCGAACGTTTTTTGGGTAGACTAAATAAGATAGCCGTATCTATTATTTGAGTTTGTGGTACCTTAATCAGCCAAAAAATAAAATTGTTAATTTATAGATAAATAAAGCATAAATATGCGTGATTATAAATAATCTTATTAAAATAAAATAAATAAATATTTTTCTCGATTCCGACGTGCGTTATGTGAAACATTCTCAAAAAAAACTATAATATAACACTTCAGAATAGAGATGATAAATCAAACCGACTCAAAACGTTCCCATAAACTGAAGAAATTTTTCAAAATAAAGTAGTAGGCTGCATTGAGATTAACCACTTATTCATAGTTAGCGCGAATTATAATAAAATACGCTGCATTTTTGTGTATTTTTATATATTTCGCCGCGAATTCGCGCTAACTATTAGGGTAAGTTTAGAAACCAAATGAAATCTAGTTAATTTAAAGGTCTGAAAACCACTCCGCCAAGAGAATCGTATACCGTGATATTGATGATTTGAAAATCCTTTGTAACATTATGACCCAAAAACGTGTAGCCACAATCTACCAGGTACCTTAATTGAATGTAAACCGATTTAAGTCCGATGGGATTTTTAGAACTAGTATGAACTTCGAGGTCGCCGTGCCTAATTCCGCTGTATTTTGTCACGTAATCAGCCACTTGATTACCGGGAACGCAAATGTATTCGTCCAAAAAGGGAACTCCTTCGAGCTTATTTTCTTCGTTCTTGACCGCGGACTCATTATGTTGTTGAGGAGTGATATTAGTGAGTTCTTCTTGGGAGTTCCTAGAGGAAGAGTTGAAAAAACCCCTAACGCAAGTAATACGAGCCAATGCTAATCGACCGGGCTTTATAGTGGTGTGACTGCCATCGCTATGAAGGTGAGCCTCTTGCTGCAAAAAAACGTAAATTTATAACTATTCATAATTGCACAAAAATTTATTTTCGCTTGTTGGCAATATTTATTGTTTTAAGAAGAAAAAAATAACAATAATTAAGTGCTAACGAAATTAATTATTAATAAAATATTTTTTTACAAAAAGAAATCTATGATTTTCTCCATAAATCCCTCATGTCTTAAGAAAATCTGTCCCGATTCCTTATATTACTACCCAAAAATCTTCGCAAATTAAAAAGTATCATTTTTTAAATACTACATTACATAGGCGTAGCTATGGGGGAAGGTGGCATAAAGGAAATTGTCCTAGAGGTCTGCATTGGGTAGGTTTTTGGACCATAAGCACGCCCACCCAATGTTATAAAAAAAGTTGAACCCACCAGCCCATAGTTTTCAAAAAATATAGCCCATTAGTCTAAATTTTTTTACCCGTCCACCCATTATTTATAAAAAATTTTTAACCAAAGCCCGATAAAATTTAATTATGGCCATTCTTTTAATTTTTTAAGCATCCAATAAAAAAAATTTCAGCATTATACCTCTACAAAAAGTTTTTAAAAAATTATTATATTAAATAATTTATTTGATCAAATAAAATATTATGAAAATAATATAAATATAAAATTGAAATTATATGTAATTAATAATGCTAAAATAATAATGAATCGACATCTTCTGGATTCAAACACGATCTTCTTTGTCTAAAAACCCTCTAGCAAAGCTAAATCCTCGTTCAGTAGAAGCATTAGTTCCAAGAATTGCCAATATTTTTCTTGCTAATCTTGATAGCTTTGGTAAATCTCTTTCTTGTCGTTTCCACCAATAGTTTTATATACAAAGTTTATTTATTTTGAGAAAAAAGTTTTTATGATACCAAAAAAGGGACATTTTAATTTTTAATATCCAAAAAGGTTCATAGAAACAATTTTTTATTAATATTTAAAATGATTTTAAATTTTTTTAACACGCCGACCCGGCTGCCCGTAAAAATTATTTGCCCGCCTACTTAAATAAACGACCTCTAATTCGCCCCTTCAAAAATATGCCTGTTTCACGTAAATATCATATTAAGCGAATAAAAATTCTACTATACCCCCCCCCCCCCATAAATATAATATATCACCACGAACAAGAATTCGAAAGAAAATACGTAAAAGTCTAATTTTATGGTTAACGGCCTACAATATTCCACCTAAAAGTGCTTTCCCCCACCCTTTAGCAAAATTTTGGCTACGCCTATGCTAAATTTTAAAGTTTGTTTTTAAAATAAGTTAAAAGAGAAAGAAAATTGGGGAGATTTTTTTATTATTTATTATTGCTAAGGCTGTGTCCAAAACCATTTTAAAATTTTAATGAAATCGTATGTTAAATATTTATAGTTTTCTAGAATTATATTTTGGACATGTTTTTTGTTTTATATTTAAAATAGCATATTTATTTATTTTCATTAAAATTTCGAAAGTTTGTTAATTTAAATTTTTGATGTTTTGGACACCTAAAACTAAACATATTTGAGAAAATAAATGACATGGACAAAAAATACAAACATTGTTTTAAAAATACCTGATTAAGCACCACAAACTCAGCATCAAGCGATATAAAAAAATGTGCCGGGTCGAGGTTAGTCTCGACCTTAAAATCAAGCGGGACAACTCCGGGGTTTAATATCCCTTTAGCAATCGTTGGACACGTTTCTTTGTTTTTATTAAAATTAGCGTTATTAGTGTCAGCATTGTTCGTTGATTCTAGTAAATTAGGGCCCGATAAAAGGCGAGAGACTGTAGAGAAATCGATTGGATTTTTGACGCTAACTGATACATTTTCGTTCAACTGACTTTTAATGTAGTAGAGAGCGCAAGGGTGTTTCCAACATGGGGAAAAGTCTAAGGCGTTTTCCTTGAGGAGTTATTTTTATTCGTGGAAAATAAATTAAAATAATTTAATTTAATGATTTTAAATATAAAATTTAGTCACCTTATCATTTTTTTCAATTTAAATAGCGATAAATTTTAAATTAATATCTGAACTGTATTATCAAAACTATTAAGATTTGAAAAATTTTTAAATATAAGATTTAATATAATTTAAGGAATAATATATTCATGAAAAATAAAAAAACCTGGCTAACTTTGAATACGCAAAAATCGTTAAAAAGGTACCATGCTTTACTAACGGGATATACTTCAGGTTCCTCTAAGCAAATCAAATCCACTAAATGAGAACCTTATATAAGATAATATCAAATAATTTATAATGTTTTGAAATGGTCAAAGTAAGAATACCATTCCCAGCCAGCGAATCCTATGGGAGATTAAGAGAATTGATAAAAAAAATTAATAAGAGTGGAATATTAAATATTTGTGTGCATTCACAACACGTTAAATGAAATGTTTTTTAACAAAGAAAATATTGTATTGGTCTTCCTCATTATTAATCGATGATCAGATCAAAAACATTAATCATAAGGCAAATATTTGCTTCACAAATTAAAAAATGAAATATAATATAGTTTAATTAGACCTGTGGGCCGTATCAGCGCATTGCCTGATAATATTTTAAATAAAATACCTGCCGATTAAGGTAATTTTAAGTTATTATATAACCTTTTTCGGGCTCTGAAACATCAGCGATTATAGCTAGCAATTCGTACATGTAAGGTTCATTAAATTCGTTAGACTTAAGTTCCAATTTAGGCAATATCCAAGAATTACAATTAGAGTCATGAGAATTACAAATTTGTTCGCTTTTTGAAGCCCAAAAACCTAATTTCTCAGGAGTGTTCGCTTGGCAATTGAGAATTAGAACGTTAGCTAAACGGTCTATCTTTTTGACCTGAGTCTATCAAAAGTTGTGCAGAAAAAAAAGAACAGTGTCTATAAAAGATATTATCTAGGGTCTTGGATATTTGGTTCGGGACCTATATTTTATCTAGCATCGATAGAGAAGATAAGAATAAAATTGGAAAACAAAGATCCTCCCCAACAAAATTAAAATATATTGGTTGCTATACAAAGTGCCTTTTTGTTTTTTTCTTCTCCGAAAAATGTAATTTGTTTAAGGCAATAGGAAAAATCAACATTATGGTGATAGGAAACATTTAATATAGCCATAGGAAAAAAATAAATAGAATTAAGGATATTATATTGCTTCCCGACTCTACAATAATAAAACGAAAAATGTAAGTATATTAAAAAAATGTGAATGCTGAACTTCGAATATAAAATTTTGTTATTCATTTGGAGGATAGTAAGGGAGAGGTCTTATAAATTTATTATAAAAGACAAAAGTTGAATATCCTCCTCCGAAGCTAATCAAATCGAAATAAAATCTATTTTTACCACTGGTTGAAACTTTTTACAGGATTCGCAATAACAACGGACGTTTTGTTCGTAAAGAATGGCCTTTTCAACGAAATCCTCAAATGTTCTATCATTAGTTTCTGCTTAATATTTATTTAATTTTTTCGTTATGTTATTAAGTATTCAAAGCAGTTAGGAAATATTCACTCACTATTATATTAGGAATTTTTAAAAAAGATATGTAATGACATGAAGCATTCCAAAGAAATTGAAAATTAAAGAGCAAATCAAAATTAAATTTTTTTTTTTAAATATAATTTTAGCATTAATATTTTTTTAAAAATCTATTTACAAAAAATATATATGACCAATAAAATTAAAGCCAAAATCGTATTTCCTTTTATATATTTTTTTGTGTATAATAATAATAAAACCATCTATGCTACTATTCCTATAAGGCGGATATTTGAAAGTAAAACAATAAGGGCGAGATGTGATGGTAAATGAAACATTGCATTCGCAACAAGTCAGGACATTTTCCATTTCCGACATAAATAATTGTTGAATGGGAGATTTCGATTGGATCGATGAATGATCGGGTTTATTCTTTGGCGAATCGCGAAAGTCCGGGGATCTATGATTGAATATGATATAATAAGAATTATTTATAAATAACAAAATAAAAAAGAGCAATAAATAGTTTAAACAGTAAAATAAATGACTAAGTAATTGCGCAAAATTACACGTTGTTAGTTATTACGTTGTGCGGAGAAAAGCAACGATATTAATACTATTAAACGGATAATTCATTTATTAAAAGTGTAAATGCATTGAGGTCAACTATAGTCAATGTTATTTATTGGATATAGTAAACGCCATTGAAAGATATTTCATCTAAATGCCTTTTACATTATGTCTTAACATTTCAGTGGCCGATTTAAATGTATGTACTTTTTTAAGAACAAATCGTCATTTTAGGTTTAGTATTAATGTCATCGGAGAAAGGGAATCAATATACATTTTTATATAAATCATAAGTTGAGCTTAGAAAAATGATTAGAAAAATAAGTTGAATTTATTTATTTTATATTATTAAACATGGATAAGAAATAACAAAATAAGTAAAACATAACAATATACTATTTATTTTTTAAATAGAATTAAGAACGATGTGATAAAATGTATAATATTCAATTTCATATTGTGCGCAGCGTATAAATTTGGGATTGGAAAATTTTCTGGCTACAGAAAATTTCGCTTAGTTGGAATTACTAGCACATTTACAATTTACAAAGTTTCAACCTAATTCACCTTTAAATCTTTCCGATAATTTAAAAAGTTAACATCTTTTCCTAATCCTTATATATTATCAAATGCCCAAGTTATTGATTTAACGCTTCTACTAGTTACTACTTCTCCAAAATTACTTTATTTATCATTACTCGTGACTTAGAACTTTTTTCAAAATAATTAACTAAGATTAAAGTACCTTCGAACGTGTAGTCATTATATTCTTAATCTTAATGAATTCTTCTTTTTTAAGTAAATGCCAAACTTTCGCGAGTTGTTTTATTGCCTCCTTTTTTGGCAATACGTTTTTAAGAGACATTATGCCCTTGGATATAAACTTGCTGCATAAAATACCTTATTTGTTTCAATTTTATATTAGAAATGGAAAAAGGGCTTATATAGGTTTTAAATTAGAAGTGACAAAGGAGTATTCGTTGCTCGTTTGCATTGAACATTTGATCTCAGGCTACATAAAAATCCCTCGGTCATTTTTTTTACTGGGCAAATATATCGTCAATAATAAAAATATAGAAAGGATATAAAGCTTTTTAGTATATCTTCAATCGTCCACCATTTGTTTTCTTATAAATTTTTCCCGATCATTACCCTGAAATAATTCCAAGCAAAATTTTCTAAACTCTATAAACCATTCCGACATTGAATAGGCAGGATCCATTCCATTTAGTAAAACTAATTTTTAAAAAAAATTTCAACGTAAGCAATATAGCTATCGTTTGTTTGATTATAAATTTATTTCAACTTTGATAAGTGAAATGCAATGCGAAGCACATTAACTGTCAACTAATAAAGATTTCATATTAGAAATATTAATTATATATATTATTTTTAAAAAAATATATAAATATTCTTAATGCATGAGAGAAAAGATAATTACATCCTTTGCTAAATTTCTAGTTCCATCTAAAAAGCCAGGTTTTTTAAAAAAATAATGAGGTATTTTGTATAATAATATAGATCCAAGAGCATGTTTTTTAAAAAATTTAAGAGAAGGAGATGCAAAAAACATATAGGATAAACTTGTAATTTAATTTAAGTTGAAATAAAAAGTTTTAAACAAAAACAAAAAAATCTCATAAGAGAGCTACTGCTATTTTTAAACAACATTTAAAAAGACATAAAAATATTTAAAATTTAAAAAATATATATTACAAGATAAAAAGGAAAAAGGTAATAAAAACTTTTCATTTTGAGTTATCGCCACCGTCTCTGAATGCATCTGGGGTAGGATAAAACGATTAAAATTTTGGATGAGAGTTGAAACGTGATCCGTTTTCATTAATTTCCCGACTCTGTGTTGTTCTTTCTCTTCTAGAATTAAGCCTAAAGCCGAAGTTTCTGGAAGATTTTTAAAGGCGCGTACTAAGTTAAGTGGCTTTTCCCGATGTAATTTGGGATTAGAATTAAAAAAAAATATAATAACAATGCTTTTTTTAATAAGAAATTTAAATATTTACCTGAGAAGGTTCATTATTGGATGCCATGTTCATCATGTGAAATAGAAATGCTAGTTCGCAACTCATGCAATACTCCTTGGTGCATAGATGGTTGAGGATATGAGATCGGAACGGGACTATGAAATATAGGATCTTAAATGAATCAATTTTTTAAAAAAAAGTAATTAAAATACTATTAACTTTCCAACTTCCCCATAGGTATTTTTATTTATCATCTAAACAATTTTTTCTTTCGTTATATCTATCTATCTTTCTAAAAATTACAATTTGCATATCATTTCTTCTTCCAAAGATGTTCAAAAGTTCGTGACAAATATAATATTCATTATATTTGCTAATGAGATAGTTCTTATTTGACTCACATCACAAACTATTTATGCGAAACCAACAAAGAGATAATTTCTAACAATTTTTAAACACTCGCAATAAACTATAAGTCTGGATTTCTTTAATTTCACTTTTTTAAAGGGTGTTAGAAGTGTTAAATAAATGAAATGGATACTACAAAGCGTTATTTTATGAAGAACACAAGGTTAAAGAATTTTTCTCGATATGTAAAAACTATCAGCCCGAATATCGTAATATAACAGGAACAGGGTATCGAACTAAAAATTACTTTCGTTTTCAACTTTAAGCAGAGACCTCCATTAATATTACACCTTTTTAGTCACAGCCCAGATTTATTGTAAATGGTTTCTAAAATAAATTTTAAGTGAATGAATGTTTAAATGATCCATTATGACTTTTTAACTGTTTAAAAAAATGCCATGTTCGGAGGGGGGGGGGTGTTAAATACAATTTATTTTTTCCTCCCTTTTTAAAGATAAAAATATAACATTAAAACTATCATTTCAAAAAAGATAATAGGAATAATTTTTTAAAAAATGAACGAAAAGAGAACATGATTAAAAATTAAAAGCCAAATGAGCCATAAATGCTCGAACGTAGCAGGTATGGCATTTTATGTTTGTTCCAACTTGTATTAAATCTAGATTTTTGCATTTTAAAATTTTATTTCCTTGTATTGATAACCTAGAAACATATCTGCACTGGCCATATACTGGCTACATGAAAATACTCGTTTATACTGGTAACTGGCCGTAAATAAAACTCCTCTCTGTATTCTAGGAGTGAATATCGCCGGTATATCTTCCTTGGGGGGAAATAAACTCCTTAATGGCTGATGGTCTGTTTATAACGTGAATTTTTTTCTCATATATATGAATTGTTTGAATTTGGTCCCCAAATATGATGGGTTAGGATTTCTTTTTCTCTCTAACTATAATTCTTCTGTGCAAGCATTTAACGTTCTTTCTTGGCGCAAATAAAATTGACCCCCCCCCTTCTTTACACGAGATTATCGTTCTGATTCCTAAGGTCGAAGAATTATTGCTAATATAATTGGTGAATTTGGGTCATATGTTGCAGTATTGAATATTTATTTATTTATTCTTAGGTTTGGCCAGGGTTAAGAGAGTAAGATTATTTACAAAGTTTTTAAGCATAATACTAAGAATATTAGATGATATGATAGAATAAAATCCCCTAGTGGCATATTAGAAACCCATTTACATATATACAACTGCTAAAGTTCTTCAATCCCTTAAAACTAAATCTCGATTGCTTTTCCACTCAATGAGATATTCAAGGCTAGTTTTGTAGTAACTAATGTCTACTTTATTAAGTGAAAAGTTGGTTTTCTTTCAACTATATTATTGCTCACAAAAAGTTAAAAAAATACTGAATGGAATTTCTTTAAATAAATATATAGATGTTAACTTGTATAAGTGCGTTGATATAAGTGTTATGCGAACTAAATTGGAGTGTCGGAAATGGGGTTGGATTGTAATTGCGAAAATTAATCTTTTCGCTATGGGGCGGTTTCCATGCGGTGCGTATTTTTTGCTTAAAATTAATTTGAAAAACTATCAATTCTAATTTGACCTTTGAATGAAAGGTTAATTACTAATTAAGTGAATATTATTCATTTTTATAAATAAAATGGAGCTTAGAAATAAGAGATGTTTAATATAAATAGTGTTAAAATTTGCCATGGATGGTTCATTTAAAATGGTATATACGTAGAGAGAATGGTTAAGGTAAAAGGGGCGATTACTAAATCCTTTTAACATTTTAAACCCGTTAAAGTTTGCGGATTACATAAAGCGTCAAATAATATTAAATATTTATAAGCAATAATTTAAAAAATTACTTTTCCGTAAATCTGGGGCACTAAGATTAAAGATTTTGAATCTTGAGCAAGTGAATGCAAATTTTTAGAATCCAGAGAATTCGAGTCTTTGTTTCCCAACCTAGATGTAACTTCAGGTTTACTTAATTGAAATTTTGAACATAAATTAGTTGTTTTATACAAATTCAGGGGCGTAGCGCAAAAATTTTTGAAAAAATATAAAGGGCTCCATGAATTGTGAAATGCAAAGTATTTTATTTCAAATAGGTTATATTCTAATTTAAATTTTAGCAAAAAGTTTAATTAATTTTTATATTTTTTTTCCTTGTATATTAATAATTTTTTTTCCACGAAAATTTGAAGCATATTTTCTAACATTTTATTTTAAACCTAAAACACTAATGGATATAGGAAGATTTTATCAACCAAAAATTTAAAAAATAATATAATTTAATATAAAATATATATAACCCAATAATCGTTTAAGAAATTGTAACTACTGATTATTCTTCGCACTACAATCTGATGTACATGATTGCAAATAAAATTATTGAGCAAAATGAAGAATCTAAAAAGATAGATAATGAAGAAATAAGGTCTTCAGGAGATTAGTAATCATTAGACAACATTTTCTGAATAGAATTATTTAAAAAAAAGAAAAAAAATGCAAAAAGAATGTTCGACACGATGGAGTCTTCCACATCAAGCTGTTATAGCATTTTTGGATCTAGAAGAAGTACCAAAATGGTCTAAACCAGATATTTCATCTGAAGCGGATACATTATTAGATTCAATAGGGCAGCCGATTTTCTCTTCTCATTGGAATGTATTAATAAATTGTTCAATTAAATAACAATTTTATGCAATATTTTTCAAAAAAAATGATTTGGATTTGCCTATAACATTTAGGTCGATTTTTAAAAACGGCACAATTAAGATTTTAGCCAAAATATTATTATATAAGCCTGGAGATTTTGCACTTAAATGGCAGAAAGGTTAGGACCTTTATTTGCCAAATCTCGAATCTTACATAATATTATTTTGGTTAAAACTTTAATCAGGCCGTTTTTTAAAATAGACCCAACAACACTACACGAATATGATTGTACTACAACTCAGAAAACTAAGAGATAATATCGAACAATAATTTCACAAGATTTATATTAATGTTGAACGAAGCGAGATTATATGATTTTGAGATTCGACTTGTACCTAAACAAGCAAAAATTTCAATATTAAAGTGGGCTCAATTGAGAATTACTATAAAAATAATCGTTTTAATTCCACCTTTGGATAATTTTTTACTCAAATTAAAGAACGATTTGTAATATATCTAATGGCTCTGTCTAGTTTATAAATATTATTACCTAGAAATCCGACTTGAAAATATTGCTCTTGATATTGCAGTTATATTTGGCACAATTGTATTCATAGAATATAAATGTATCTGAAAGCCATAGACTAATTAACACTAGAATTTAAATCTTGGTAAGAAAGATTAATTTTAATAAATAATCCTCCAAGAAACGCCATGGAAGAGCATTTAATTAAAATATATTTTGTAATTTTTGGTAAGCGGAAAATAATTCCCCGGAAAAAAAAATCCACAATAATAATTCTTAAAAAATAATTCTCCGGAATTGATTTACTCAAAATTTTTAAATATATTATTTGAGGATTTTAATTCCATGTATAAATTTATAGGGAACTTTTTCTCCTATTTTATTAATTTTGTAATTTTTAATATTTTATAAAAAGGGGAATTTTTTTTCGGGGAATTATTTTCTTAGATTCGTAATTTTTCCCAAATCAATTAAAATTACTGTATATTTTGGCAATAAACAAGTATGAATGAGAGGGCACCTTCCCTTCATTACTGAGAATAAAAATTTATCTTAGAAGTATAAGAAAATCTGAATAGACTAGTTTTACTTAATATAGATAGAGATTTATTTCTCAATTACAAAAACAAATTATTAAAATATTGACGAAATCGCAGAGAAGATAAAATTTCGATTTATAAACGATATTTTGATTATCTTTTTAAATCATCATATAGATTTTTAATTCTATATTTTATTGTGATTTACATATCGGTTTATAGTGGTATAATATTTTTTTTAGCAATATTAAATTTGCCGATCCAACTGTATTTCTAAACATATATCTTTAAGTCCTACCGATTTAATTTGTATAATTATTGTTTTTACTATCTTATAGATAGTACATATTTTACAGATGGTATATATTTTATATGTATTGGTAATGTTAAACAGCTCGATTTTTAAATACGGCTAACTCAATATTTTAGCCAAAAAATATTATGCAAGATAGAGCCTTTTACTCATATATGACAGAAATTTTAGACATCTATTAACTAAATCTCAAGGCTTGTGTAATAATATTTTGGCCAAAATCTTAATTAAAAATAGGCCAAACCGAGCCGTTTAACAACACTAAATATGTTTATTATAAGCTTATATTTATTTGATCATAGAAATGTGTATTATACAAATAAAAAAAATTATCTTTTTATATACAATAATGAATTAATATGTAAATCTAGAAAATTATAAATATCTGAAAACCTAAAAATTAAAAAAAATATGTTTACCTCGTTTCCTTAAGCCTGTTTACCCCAACAAATTCGTCGTAATATATAGGAGCTGAAGGAAAGATTTTTTGATATAGAGGATCGTAGTAGGCATAATTTTCTGCTTCTCTATTTATTATTATTGTTATGTTTACAAAAGGTCAATTCAAACTAAACTCCTCACAAAAAAAAGGTAATAAATTCGTTAAAAGTATACTTATGAACTTATAGTAGTTCATCTAATAAATAACTCGCGGAAAAGTAAAACAATGGTAGAGTGAATAGGTGGGGATCGTTTATGCATAACTCATCTTAATTAATTTGTCTTATTTTTGTACGGTTCATAAGGAAAAAAGAGGTTATATTTGTTCAAAAATCGTAGTTTTGTATTATTCAATTTAACTAATTCTTAACAAATAAACAAACTCTGTAAATGCGCATACTAGATTCAAAAATAAAAAACGAATCTTTATTATATAACCCAATTAGTGTTGTTAAATGTCTAGATTCGACCAGATTTTTATAAAAGGGCTAATTCAATATTTTAGCCAGAAGAATATTGCTTACACATCGCGAATAGACTAATACATATCCAAACCTTGGTTGCCATCTGTGATCAAAATATTCCTCGCATAATATTTTTTCGGATAGCGCATTGAGTTAGCCGTTTTTAAAAATCGAGTCGTATAACAACACTAAGAGCCCAATAAATATATATATTTTAAATAAACAAAATTTGGTAATATAATAAATTACATAATTATAACTAAGGTCTGAGAAGGCTTTTAGATCCAAAATAAAGTAAAAAATTTCTATTATAGAAAAAAACAATCCTAATGTAACTTGTAAGAATATTACATTTTTTATAAAAAAAAAGGCCAATTCTGTAGCTAATATATTCAAAAAATAGACTAAAAAAATAGGTAATTTTAAAAGAGTGTGGTCATAAATAAAATAAAAGTTACACAGTAAAATCATCTTGTCGCAAAAAGAAGTGAACAAAATATATAATTTTATAAAAAAAATTAAAAAAAAATAAAACTTTTCTTGCAGAGATAAAATGGCTTTATCATAAGGGACAAGATTTGTGATTCTACCTGGAGGATTGGGAACATATCCTACAAATTGGGATACCTTCATGTTTTTTAATAATTCTTCGTCAATGGACAAGCTTTTACTACAATTTTTATAATGATTAAATCAAAAAAAATGAAAATAAATAGTTCGTTGGAAAATAAAGGGCTAAATAATCTTCTCTTCATTCTTAATTAATTTTCCCCCTTTTAATTTTTACACCTATCTCTATCTTATTTCTTATTTACTAATTTTTTTTTAAAAAATCGAATATTTTATAAACCGATCGTATTTCCTCACAAACCGGGCTGGCCAATCGGAAGCCAAGGGCGCGCCAGATAAAATAAATTCCGGGGGGAGCAGGTAGTCTTGAGGAACAAGACCAGAATGAGATTGTCGGGGCTGCGGGTCAGGAAATAGGGCTGGGCGGGAAAAAGAGTTGAAGGTAAGGGGAGTGGAGATTGTTTTATTATGATCCGTGTCGTGGGTTCGAACCGTTCCTGTTTTGGGAGGAAGTTAATAAAAGTATAAGAGAATGACCCTTTTTTCAAATATCACTCCAAATTTTAACAAATACTCTTAAATGTCAATATTTTTATGATCCAATGCCACTGAATATCTTAAAATTAATTCAACTAAGAATTTTTAGAAGAGTCTAGACTCGAATTATTTTACTATTAGCAAAAAATTATAGTTTTCGGGTTCGTTCTAACTATAACAGAATTTTAACTTTTTTGATCAAATGAGGCTCGTTTAAAAAAAGGAGTATTAATTCGATACAGGGTCTATGCAGGGGGCTATAATAAAGCATTTACAAATACTTTTAAAGATATCTTAAAAGAATATTTATAAACCGTTTATATCCCCTAGGGCTAAAACTCGATTGTTAGAGGAAAGAGCAATGGAAGTTAAAAGAGAACCTCGAGTGTCAAAATTGTATATAATAGATGGCGCATTTGAACCAGCTTTTGGATCTATCAATTGATAGTTACCATTCTATAATTATATTAAAATTTTTCAAAATAAATAAAATAGTAGTGAAATGTGATATATTACAAATTGAAAACACTATAAACATCATCCAATACATTAAAAGAATTAAAAATATATTGAGTTTATTAAAAATATTAATAAAATGTGAGCCTTTATATATATATATAATGGCATGATGTATAATATAATTATATAATGTCAATAAATCAGACAAATTTTTTCATATTTTTTCCAAGACAAAAAAGTTTATTATTTTTTGCAATTATCCAATTATCCTTGGGTTAGTTTAATCAAAATTATTTATAGATACTATAATTAAACAAGATCATAAAATCTGAAATCAATTAAATATTAATGTTTGATGAATAATTGAAATTGATTTTTTTTTTAAATATTACTATAAATTATATAAATTAATTATAACTTGAGCTAAAACCAACAATCTTTCAGTGTAGGTGTGCAGAAATTTGAGAGTAAATGGATCAATATTTATTTGAATAGGAGGTAAAGTTTTATAAGTTCTTATGTCAAATACTTTTATAAATCTCTCATAATTTATCATTCCATTTCTTAATTTAATATATACAAACAAACATGTAATTAAACAATTAAGGTTGATAATGGATAAAAACAAAATTATTGTTGAAATGATTAAAATTGAATATAAATAAACCTTTCATAAAATCCACAGGCAACAATGGTATTGCCAGAAACATCAAAATCTAAAATGGCACTTTGATGAGTTGAAAATTCATGTTGAACTTTGAAATCAGAAGCATCTCTCACACATATCTTTTAATTGTATAAAGAACCTCATTACTATAAGTATATGTGGTAAATTAATAAATAAACTTACAAAATTTAAAAAAAATATTAACAAAATCGAAGTTACAAGTTATAAAATTTGGAACTTTTATAAACTTTTTTATAAATTTTAAATATTTAATTCAACCTTCCCATTTGGGTGTGAAGTAAAAATACTTTTATCATTCATTTTCATAAGATCACATGAATTATATGATTCTTCAAGCTCATACTAAAATAAAATATTAATAAGTAATAACTATTTCATGTATCTACTTCTGATTTTAAGTTAAGGTTTATTATATCAATAACAAGTATTTTATTATTATGACCACCTATTAAGATATATGGATAATTTAATTGGGCAATATCAACCATGCATTTAGCATCAAAAATTGTATCATTACTTAACCTGCAATAAACAAAAAGAATAGTAATTCAAATGTCAGTTATAAATAGAGTAACTTTAAGGTCATTTGAGGAATTCCTTGTCTTGTTATTAATTTCAAATTATTTGAAGTTAAAGCAAAAAGTCCAAAATCATTAGTCAATAGGACCTTTATATCTTCTGAATGGTATACTTGAAATGATGTATATTTTAGTAGATGGTCACTAAAATATGATGTTACATGACCCTTAGTAAAAACCATGAAATATTATAATATTAAGATATAATCGATTTACCTCTTGATTCCCAACCCATAATAACTCCTCATACAAATCAAAATGTAATGCACTTATTCCATATCCAGAACCTTCATCATTCTGTACTGTATATAAATATTGATACTCGGGGAATTTATTTTCAATATACATTGAGTAAAGAGCACTCATTTATGTTCTCATTTCTCAAATCTTTCAAATCATCTGTTCGTTAATTCTTTTAGAAAATAATGAAAGACATTTTGCTGACTTTGAATATTTTATATAACTATTTAAGCACATTTAATTATTAGTTTTTTTCATATATGACTTTTTTATTTTAATTAATGATTACAATTTATAGTTAAATAAAATAAAATATATTTAAAAAATATTCATATAAATAATTATTTTCCTTATGTGGGTGGCATAAAAATTAATATGGAATAATAATATAAATTATTAAGCATCAATTTTAATTTAAATAATTACCAATTTAAACAACTCAAAATTAATTACCTTTGATCTACTTATATTTTACTATTCATTTATTTTATATTTTATTTTATTTTATTTTATTCTAATTTTCTATACTTAAAATTTTTTTATCTTGTATATTTTTAATATATTGACCTCAGATATTTTTATAACAGTAATATTTTAAATTTGTCACAATTGGATACAGGTTTAAGAATATTCTAAGTCTCATCATGACGATTTTGAAAATTAGAATATATTATATGTGTATTATCTAAGGAAATACATTTTCCTGTAATTGATATATCCAATTTCGTCATTACGAAGTTCAAACAGCAGATCAAACTTGTTAAACTGATGGATATTAAATCTAATCCTGCTATGTATGAATAAATATACCAATTGTTTTTGTGGGGTATATGTTGAAAAAAAAAATCTTAAAAAATGTTATTATATTTTTTTTATTTTTATTTTTTTCTCTTTAGCTTTCACCTTTTCTGGTGGTAAGCTCCTTCAACATCTCTCTCCACTTTGTGTTATTAATACAATCTCTTTTATCTAATTTATACTTCTTTATATTGGCTCTAACTTTATGGCCCCATTGAAGTTTTGGCCTTCCTCTTTTACGTTTGCCCATCACTTCCAAACTCTTAACTTTATTTCCTATGTAGTTCATAGGCCATCTCATTGTGTGCCCATACCACCTAAGTTACCATAAACTTAGTCTTAATAGGCACTACCTTTAAACTACTATGTTATTATATTATAGTTTAATAAATAATTGTTATAAATAAAATATAATACATTATTTTTGGGTTTTACCCAATAACTCCATGATCTTCAGGATATTTGTCATGGAACTAATTAGAGTTTCTTAATATGTTTGCCTTATAGATTTATAAAATAGAGTTCATTTGTAACCGATTTATCAAAATGAGATTAACATTCCGGAATTGTATTTTATAATAATGGGGCTTTAAACAATGATATAATATTTATTTTTCGCTATCTATTAACTCAATATTAACCTTAAAGATTGATTTTTTTTTATTCTTTAATATTAACCTTACGGACTCATTTTATGATATTAACTCAATAGTTTGATATAAATTATATAATAGATTTTTTTATATAAATTGATATTGTAAACTATATAAAGAGAAAAATTATATTGTATTTTTAGTTAAATATTTTTAAATAAATTTAATAAATAAAAATATTAAAATTAATTTTATAATCTTGTCTAATTCCCTGCCAACCTTAACAATAATGTTGGGCAAAAAACAGATTATTGGTAACAGATATACAAAAAATTTGAACAGCTTGTTTTACCTATAAAAAATATTTTATAATTATATATTTAATATCAAACTTTCTTTTTTAGTTTAAGGAATGCAATGTGTGCTTAATTATTAACAGATGATCCTTCAAGCTCTTTAGTGAAAAACATGGCCAGTAATGAGGTTTTATTCATTTTGAATAAAATAATAAATGTTTGCTTTACGATTTCAATAATATTTCATTAAAACAAATTAGCAATTTTCAAACTATAATATAGCACTTCAGCATATTCCTATGTGTGAATATTTTTTTAAATATATTTAATGAGTTAATCACCTATCTATATTATATTATATATCATTGCCCTTAGATAAAAAAAAGGATGACTTTAAGCAATTCCAAAATATATTTATAAGAATGTAACCTCTTGGATTTCGAGAACTTATAATCTAGAAATATGTACGATTAGATTTTTAAATAGAGGTATAACTACATTAAAGGAACGACACTCAACAATTCCTCTCGAATAAAGAGGAAGTATTTTTACGTTTTGATTATAATGGTACTCCCTTCTTATATTTTAAGAAGAATATCTAAATTATAACACTAACAAACAACTATTAAAAAGTGAGTCTTAAAGAATTGACGAGTTTTATATTCTTTTAGGATCTGACTATTCCTGCTATCACTTAACAAACTGATATCCTTTCAAAACCAGTTCATCAACCGTATGCTTTTAGAGGGAAATTCCCTCAGTTAATTTCAAGATTTTATATGGGGACAAGCTTAAGACTCTTCATAAATCTAACAATGACGTTAAATATATAGCCTTTGCATTAACTGACATCGATTACCCAAATTTGTAATGAGTTGGATGCAATTTCAATATCATGCAATATACGCTTCAATCAATTATAAATTAACATCAAAGTCGGATGTGAAACAATTCTTCACGTGGTCCGAATTTAAGATATCAATCCCCCTGATGACATCCTTAGCAAAATCAATTTCACTAAAGCATTCAATGCCCTAAAACGTAGTGAATTCCTGAAGCCTGCCCACTCTTACTACTTCAATTGATTTTGAAGTTAAATAATTTAAAATTATTTTCCCTGCTTGAGTATTCGATTTTGTCAATCAGGCAAGCAATAATGCTCATCTTCTCTTGCTTCCATTATTCAAATCAATCATATTCTTAAGTTCAGATTCTACTTCTCTTCTTTTATTATCTAAATCTTATTAAGTGTAATTTAAAAAACGTAATATATTTTCAATGTACTTAGTTAATCAGCATTTTGTAGTTTGTTTTATTAAGGGGTGAAAATTATCATTCTTTAAATTTTTTGGCAGAGTATTTTCAATATGGTAAATTTGTTGATACAGTTGATTGGGTATCTGAAATGTTATAGTTGACTCACACACAAATCAAAATATTAAATTGGGTTTTCGCTTTATTTTAATTAATTAATTACTATTTATTTTATTAGGATTAATAATATTTCTAATAAAATATTATAATTTTTTAAATAAAATTTCTAGAAAACAATAGGAAATCTTTAATAAGTAATAATAAAAAATTTAGAAAGAATTTTTATTAATTTAGTGGACTATTTAAATTATTTAGGGGGCTTGATCCCATATGCGTCCCCTCCTAATGATGCTACCGTTAAACAACTGATTTGGTTTTCATAAATAATAATGTAATAAGTCACAACTCAGAATCGATTACGAAAAGTAAATTAACTTAAAACATAGATTACACATGTTAAATAAACTATAAATTTATGGTTAATAAGATATAATTAATAGTTAAAGATTAAGTAAACATGGATTCTCATCCTTTGAATATGAAAGTTTTAGATTTCCTGCTCCAATTATACTTTTTAGGTATAATATTCATGATAGACATAACCGGGCCTAACACTGATGTTAAAACGTTTTCGTAATTATTTTGGTTTCTTTTATAAGCTCTATTAGGGAGTTTATTAATGTAAGGATTTTGATTTTGAGAATAAAGCCAATTTAGATCGTACTTTTTCCGATTGAAATTCTAAAATATAATATATTATATAAGGATTTTTTTAAAATTATTGTACCGAGATCTAAAATAGTCAAGACTAAAGAGATAATATAAGAAGTAAATGTTGAAAATTTAATTTAACATTAAAATTTTATAGATGGTCATATTTTTATTACTTACGATTAAATTTTTGAGTTTCCCCGTGTTTAATTTCGCTTGAGATAGTATAAATTTGCTGTTCAAATTTCTGAAAATCTCACCGTGCTGCTTCAAAGAAAACTTATCTTCCTTTTCCCTATTATCGCCTATCACCAAGGGAATGCCGGGTTGAGCATTAACACTTTCTCCAGGATTTGAAAAATAAATATATTTTTTATTTTGATCTATATAGTTATTTGTGTATTCTTTTATCATATATGGTAAGGTCAAGGCATTATCTTCTTGAAATAAGTCACTTATTGATAGTTGATATTTGTCATTTGTGTCTCCATCAAAATCTGGCCAATCTAAAGTACGTAAATTAATCTTGTACTGTTTTTCTAAATCGGTGTTAGGGAATCGGTCCTTGTCATAAGTACCCAGTTTGCCCATTTCATCTAATTCCATTATAGTTATTGCGTTATCAAGCAAAAATATATTTCCGATCATATATATTATTATTTTAATGGATAGGCTTGTTCTATTCTAAATTTTGTAGCAGAGTAAAATTGCATATTATTATAAAAGATTTTAAGGTTAATTGTTTTTTTAAACTAATGACTTATTTGATAGCATGTCAATTTTTAATGACACCAAATCAATTTCAAAATCCCAAAATATAATATTCTTGTTATTCTATTATTAACAAAAAATTAGAGATATGGCTAAAGGTCTGCACGGGCTGTCCGTAGTCTGAACCGACTCGAGCTCGGGCCGGGTCGGATCGGGTTCGGACATAAAAGACTTCTCATTTTTGGGTTAGGGTTTGGGAGGTGTCCGACTCTATCTGATAAATATATAAATATCAATTTTAAGTCATAAGTCAATTTGATTAGCATGTCATTTACAATGATTATTTTACTAACATCCGTTCACCAAACTATCTTGTTATTATATTTTTGTGTCATTATTTACATCATATTTTATCAAGTTAATTAAAATATATTTATCTAATTTATAATTAATTAAATAGCTTCAAATTTTCAATATTTAAAATAGGTTGTCAAATCTTAAATTAGTGGAAGATCTACCAAAATGAAATTCTCAATTTATGTGTTTTGACTCTTAAATTCCTAGCTATCTCTGTTTACTCAGCTAGCTGTGAAAGCTGCGCTTTTAGTGGTTGATAGGACCTTTTTTGAAGATAGGAGGACATATTTAATGCCTGTCAAACTAGGCCTTTACTTATATTTCACAATTATTCATAATGTGTTAACTATTGATAATGATATTGATATATCTT